CTTCTTGTACCCAAACAGTTTGCATTTGATTTACTTATCTTTTATGTCTATCCTCAGAAAGGACCCAAGAGTTACAAGAACTTCTCTTCTTGGAAAGCTACCATGGGTTGTCCTCCAAAAATGTCTAATTCCTAACTGCCAAAACCTATAAACGTAACCTATATGGTAGCAGGGCTTCTGTAACTGTGAGACATTATCCTGAGTTATCTGGGTGGGCCTGGGGTAATGATGAGATCCTTAGAAAAGCAGGTCAGAGTGGGTAGTGGGAAATGTGGCAAAGGACAGTCAAGGAGTGAGGGAACAGACGCTAAGAGACACAAGTGAGCTTGGGGTAGCTATTGCTTAATAAGTAAGTGTGTGTGTGGGGGGGGGGGTGAGACAGGGTTTTTCTGTGTATCCCTGGCTGTCCTGGAACTCACTTCATAAACCAGACTGGCCTTGAACTCAACAAAGATCTGCCTGCCTCTGCCTCCTGGGTGCTGGGATTAAAGGTGTGCGCCACTTAGTAATATTGAATATGCTAAATACACACAAGGCCTTGGATTCAGTGTTGCACATGAGCAAGACATAGACAGGAAGAAATGTAGACGTCCCCCAGAAGCTGGAAAAGCAAGGAAGTAAGAGCTAGCAACACCAACAGGAAACTAATCTAGTTCTCTTGGAGTCTGTCGGTTCTCTTTTCCAGTCTCAGTAAGTACCCTTAGTTTGGTCTGTTTGCCCTTCATTGTGCCCTGAGAAAGATACCTCCTTTCCTCACAGCTGGTAGGCTGGCTGACAGGTGACAAGGTTCTCTCTTCTAGGAGCCTGGGCTGTACTGTAGTGGAGATGTTGACAGAGAAACCACCTTGGGCAGAGTATGAAGCTATGGCTGCCATTTTCAAGATCGCCACCCAGCCTACCAATCCTCAGCTGCCTTCTCACATCTCAGAACATGGCAGGGACTTCCTGAGGCGCATTTTTGTGGAGGCTCGTCAGAGACCCTCAGCTGAGGAACTGCTCACACACCACTTTGCACAGCTCGTGTACTGAGCTCTCAAGGCCATGCTGCTGCCAGCTGCCACCTGCTGAGCAGGCAAGGGGCTGCTGTCGGGCTCAGTGAAGTTGCTGCTGCTTCCAGGCAAGGCTAAGGACAGCGGAGCTGGGTCCAGCCATTGTTTGTCTGTGCCTGTCACTGGGACTCAAAGCCTGGATGGGATAGCTGTGGCATCAAGACTGGGAACCCAGCCTGTGAGACCCAAGAGCTCCAGCATCCTAAGCACAATGCGGAAGGAAAGGGGCTGGGAAGAGTGTGCAAGACAGCCGTGGCCTCGGTGTCCTGCCACTGCGGCCAGCGCTGAAGCCAGGAGGCCTGGGGCACAGGGCGTACTCAAGGGTGTGAATAGTGTTATTTCATTCAGAGTGTTACTTGGATTCTCCTCCCAATGTTTGGAGACCACCAGTGTCTCGGCTGCATGAGCCCACTCAAGCCTGAGGTAAAGCCCGGCATCCCCAGCCATCAGAAGGCAGAGGTGTGGGCTGCTCTGACTTAGAGGCTCCAGGTGTGCCCTGCCAGTCCCGTCTTTTACCAAAGATGAACGAAGCAAATGTTATGCTGCCTTATTCTGGGGAGGAGGCTGCCCCCATAATCAGGGCCTGAGAAATGGAGCTGCCTCCAGTAATGGGGAGCCCCAGTCTTGTCAATGCAATGGTCTGTTTTACAAGTGGAGTCACTCTTACGCTGTTCCCAGTTTCTAAACTGGAGACGTGGCTCTCTGAGCTCTGGAGACCCATGTGGGCTTGGGCCTTGGGCTGGACTGGGAAGAGCTGATGGGATGGCCTCTGGCCTGGCATCTGTTCCCTCACCGGAGCAGAGAAGGTGGGCGACACAAGTCAGGGCACCCAGCTCGCCCATGGCAGTCCAGGAAAGTCCAGGGGTTGTCTCGGGCTGTCTGCATGTCAGGCCTGAGCCCCCATGGGTAGACAGGAAAGTCCTTGTGCCACCACCAACCATGTCCAAAACCAGCTCTGTTCCTTAGCCTGCCTTGCCCAGTTGTGTTCTCAGCCTCATTCCTTGTTCCTCCCACCAGGGAGGATGCCAACAGGGGTTGGGGAGACTCCAAGCCGCTTAGAGATGGCCATATTTACCTCAGCCTGGGCGCTGGTCCTTTCTTCCAGCCCCTTCCCTCCCCTCCAAGTGTGCCTATTGCTACAGCTCCTCCCTCCCAACTCCCATCTCTTGGGAGTTGTCATTAAAGGAAAAAAAAAAAAAAAGCCAGTGCCCAGGGATGGGCATCTCTAGGGAGCTGGGGATAAGCGCCAGGCAGCTCTGCCAGCCATGCCCACTTCCCCATGGGCACAGAACAAGCCAAAGCCTTCGTTGTATGTTGACGATGCACTTTTATGAATGTAGTTTCTATCGCTGTTTTTAGCCTTTTCACATCATGTAATGTGAGGCCTTGTACTTGTTAATTTATATCTCAGATCCATATTTGATGGTTTTTATATATATCAATTCTAGACTGTTACCGGTGATGGACTCCTGAAGAGAGAACAGAAATTGAAAGCAGCTGGTTTTGCAGATATGTGTGTTGCACGGTGCCAATTGGGCCTGGGCCCCTCTGTTTTATTTCCTTTCCCTCGGGGGTCTGTCAGGCACCCGCTAACTGCTCTGAAGCCAGTGAGTAAAGTCCTGCTTCCACCTCAGCCTTTGCCCAGGGTGGGGACTGGCCCCTCTTCTAGACCAAAGCTGCCAGAAGGCAGCTCGGCCTCTCCATGACCCTCTCCTGATGGCTGTAGCACCCCTTAGCCTATCCCCATCCAAACCTCAAGAGGAAACAGAGCTTGGTGGGCGGAAAAGATGTCAGAGGAGACGACTCTGCTTGTCCCAGGTTCAGGCTCTCACAGAGCCCTCCCCCCAGGGGGTATCTTACCTCAGAGGGAATGTTTCTAAAATGAACTTAAAAGTAAGCCAACAAATCCTGCACTCCAAAGAAAAAAGACCCCTTTTTTTTGTGCCAAAAACTGTGGACATGCTAGCTCAGCATCCTCAGGACCAAGCTATTAATTTATTTTATTTCTTATTAATAAATCCAAATGAGAAGTCGTGGGGCTCTAGGATGGGCCCAGAGGTTCTGAAGGATGGTCTCCTAGCAGCCCTCGGCCTACTGTGCGAAGTGCTGTACCATCACTTGTTCATCATTCCAGGGGTTCATCCGCTTTGGCCAGCCCCACATGGAAGGACCAGGCCTGGGTCAGCTGCATGCTGCCACCCTCTGTCCCTCCTGCTCACCCAGCTCGTCTGTCTCAATTGTGGATTGTGCAGAAGAACCTGCAGCCATAGTTAGTTGACTCGACCTTGACTGAGGGCTTGCCGTGCAAAGCCAGGCCAGTGCATTACTTACAATAAAAGGGATCATTTATATCGGAAGGGTCCTGTTACCATGCTTTGGTGGTCGGTGGAAACTGACTGGGATGGCTGGGGTGGGGGTGGGATGCCTCATGCCAAGTCTAGACCCTTAAATAGAACTGGGAATAGCTGACGTGGCCAAGCGCCCTTGCTCGCCCGGGTGGTCCCTCTTTCCTCTCCTTCCCTCTTACCCCAGTGCTCCACGGAGGCAGCACTGTTGGTCTGTCTGGTCCGAATACGTGCCTTTGTTTTTGTTTTTTGATACACAGTCTCACTATGTGCTCTGGTTGCCCTAGAAGTCGGTATAGACCAGGCTGGTCTCAGGCTCACAGATATCCCCCTGCCTCTGCCTTCTGAGTGCTGGTGTTAAAGGCGTGCGCCAAGATGCCCAACCTGCCACTGTTTGTTTTGTTTTGTAAACGGTTCCACTGTGTAGCCCAGGCTGGCCTTGAACTCAGAGATCCTGCTACCTCGGCCTCCCCAGTGCTGGGACCACAGGCGTGCGCCACCACTGCCCGTTCTTAATTGCAGTGAGAGACCATCCTTGTCCCCACAGATCCAAGTGCCCACCTGCAGGAACAATCCACAGCGGTTGATTGCCTGGCAGTCTTTGCCCTCCCCCTTGCTCACGAATTCATCTGTCCCACAGGCAGTCTGCAGAAGTCAGGACAGTAGGGCCTGGGGCAGGGCAAATGAGACTACTTCCGCCGAGGGAGTTTCTCTGCTGTGAGCTGTCATCTTCAGTGTGCATGGCTCTCAGAAGAGCAGTGTGTCCCCCAATGACCTGACACGGCAGTTGTGACCTCTCACTTCCCAGAAGAGGCTCCGGGAAGATGACAGACATGAGGAGAAAAGGGTGGCAGCGCTCAAGCTTAGCAGCACTCACTCATCTGTGGATTCCCATCATTCCTTGCAGATTTCTAGGGCAAAGGGCTAGGAGGAAACTGGACAGCTGGGACCAGCTAGCAGAAAGGCAGTCACAGACGGTCTTGGCCAAATGGGAAAGGTCCTGCTTTGCACCGCACTCCACTCAAGTGTAGTGAGTTAACCTCTGGAGAACTGCAGTGAGGCTGTGGGGGTTGTGCAGGCCTTTAATCCCAGCGTTTCTGAGGCAGGCAGATGTCTGAGTTCTAGGCCAGTCAGGGCTACATACTAAAGTGAGACGCTGTCTCAAAAAACCAAAAAAACGAAAACTTTTTGGTGGAGCCTGGCTTCTCCTCAACAACTCCAAGGATACACTGGGATTCCAGGGGTTTTTGTTCGTTTTTGTTTTTCGAGACAGGGTTTCTCCGTGTAGTTTTGGTGCCTGTCCTGGGTCTCACTCTGTAGACCAGGCTAGCCTCGAACTCACAGAGATCCCCCTGCCTCTGCCTCCCGAGTTCTGGGATCAAAGGCGTGCGCCACCACCGCCCGGCTTGGGATTCCAGGTTTTGACAGCTTGACACCCGGAGTTGGCAGAGTCCTGTTTTTCAAGTTGATACTTCTTGGACAACCATCACCCAGCCTATTCAAAGCCAGGAGTATTATGGGCTGTCTCCCCTTCCCATCCCTGTGACAAGTTTGTAGCCTACCTGCCACGGAGCCCCCCATCAGGCCACATAACAGAGAGTCAAGATCTGTTTAAACATGTTTAAAACAGGGTTGATCACAACAGTCAGAACATCACAGCGGTGGAGAGCAGGGAGCGAGCTACTGCCGACCCTGTCAGCTGAGGCTCCAGCAAGAACGTGAGCCTTGGGGCACAAGGGCCCCCAGGCCCCCAGGCTGCGGGCTGCCTTGCCTCTTTCCCAGCCCCCTCCCCCACCGGTGAGGTGGCGTGTCTGAGGCCCGGCAGATGGCACTCTCCCTCTTCCAGTCTCTGTGGCTCAGAACCAGGCTAAGGGCAGAGGTAGATGGGGAGACGCGGGGGTGCACAAGGCCCAGGTGGCAGTGTGGGAGCTTGGGACCCTGAGGAGGGCATGCTGACTCCTTGCTGGAGAAAAGGCACCTAAATAGGGAAGCTGGGCTTGTGGGCCTCCCAGGGAGCCGGGGGGCGAGATGAGATGGTCCGAAGAAGCAGTGTGGTGAAAATGCAATTCTGCTTCCCAGACCTCTACCTCCTAGGGGGAAAGTAAGGGATCCTGGAGCAGAGCCCGATGCCTGAAACCTGTCTGAGGGAGCCTCATCCCTTCCCACCCCGCTTCCCCGACAAGCCCAGCTCAACCTCCTTCCCGCCGGCCGGCCGTGTGCGGAGGGAACGGGTGTCCGAGGGCCTCAGGCTGTCTTGGTGCCCGAGTCCACCTCCTTGTGGGCCCAGAGCTCCTTGTGCTGTTTACGGCCGAAGCCCTCATCGTAGTTGCCTTTGCTCTTAAAGAGCTGCTGAAAGTGAGGTTTGCAGTAAAATTCACCGTGCAGTGCGGCATAACTGCCCAAGCTGCGGAAGCAGAGAACAGCTGGCTCAGTCCAGGGCTGGAGGGCAGGGGAGGGTGGGCGAGTGGGCTGGGCAGGGCTGGGCAGGGCAGGGGCGCACCTGAGTTTGGTGTGGCAGTGTTTGCAGCAGAAGCAGGAGTTGTGGAAAATGAGCTTGTCTGCCACCAGCCGCTCCATAGGGTACACCGTCTTCTGGCAGGCTGCACAGGTCTCCTTCACCTGAGCCCGCAAGCTGAAGGACTGGAGTGGGAGGAGGGCACCCTCAGCAGGGAGCCCGCCGGGCCCCGGCCCTCTCCTCCGCCCACCCCCACCCCGGGGCCCTACCTTGGAGCGCTGCACGCTGCTGCTGCCACTGCTGCCTTTGGCTTCCTGGGGGAGAGGGGCAGTCAGAGCGGGCTCAGCTCTCCGGTGGCCCAGCCCAGAGCCCAGGGCCACTCCAGAGGGGGCGGAGGGTGCCAAGCAAACGGGCTGCTCCTGTCCCCTTCACCCCTCCCACCTGGCTGGTCACCTACATGAGAGGGGGTGGCCTGGGCGGCTCCGGCAGCCTGGAACATGGCTCTTCGGGGGTGCTTGGCGGCCTGGGTGGAGACGCGGCGCCAGGAGGGTTCTGCAAGGGGAAGTCGGTCAGTGGGGCCCCAAGAGCCCTCCCCCAGCCTGCAGGCCGGGGTGTTTTCAGGCAGGGGGTTGAGGGGCTGCGGTTGGGACTTTCCCTAAGTCATTTCCTGTTGCTCTGGGTCTCGCCACTTCCGCCCCTCATCCCCCCTCCTCAGCCTGCCCGCCCCTCATGCAGCTCCCCGAGGGGTACGGGGTCCCTGAGTGGAAACATATGTGGGGAGAGAACAAAGTTAGCGGGAGCGGCCGGGGACAGGGGGCTCCGCGGTGCCCGCGCCTGCTTCCCACTGGCGGAGACCCCCGCCTGGGGTGAAGGGAGGTCGGCAGAGGTCCGGCCCGAGCACCGCCTGACCCCCCGCTTCCCCGCCCCGGGCTCACGTCCAGCCCCTGGACAGCGCTGCGCTCCGCCCGGCCTCCCGCCCC